CAATTTGAGAAGCGTGGATCATTTTGACCCGTTCCATCCGGAGCCCCAGTATCATCAGTTAGTGTCATCAGTTGATGCCGTCTGTGGGAAGCCTTTTTGCTCTGTGCGGCAACTGTGCTCATTGTCGCTTGAGACCCATTCCCGATAATCCCTACCTGCCACCCACCAAGGTGGATGGTCACAACTAGATCCATGGCTTCTCAACACAACGTTGCCGACTCCCAAGCCTACCCTCCTAACCCAAACAACCCACCGTAGTATTTCACAGAACTCACCAACAGCATTAACCGCCTAGCCGAGCAAAACCAAGTCCTAATCAATGCTTTGCTTCAAAGAGACCTTCTCATACCTCCTCCACCACCTCAAGACATCCCACCCAACCAAGAACGAGCCCGAGCCATCCCATCCAACAATCCCACCCATCCAACTTGGAGGGCTTACGACCCTCTCCTCAAGATATGAACCCGCCACCTCGAGCCCCACATCCACCGATCCAAGCACTTGCCCCCGAGGGGGAGGCCAGCAGTGTCCAACCTCCGTTGCATTCCGGTGGTGACAACGCTCCTTTTTAGGATGCAAAACTCCGAGCTATGAAACTCCAGCTGCAAAGAGTCATGCAGAACATATAGAGCAAACCCTCTGCCACAGCCAACTCACCATTTGTTGCCTCCATCAGGGACAAACCTCTACCTTCTAAGTTCAAAATGCCCTCGATCGACTCCTTCGACAATACAAAGGACCCAGTCGACCACTTGGAGACTTACAAGACCCTCATGGTCTTCCATGCATTCCCTAATAAGATCATGTGTTGGGCTTTCCCCGTAACGCTTAAAGGGTCGGCCCGACTGTGGTTTAGTCAGCTGCTAACGGACTCGGTCTCTACTTTCAGCACCTACGTGACTCTTTCCACAGCCACTTCATTGGTGCCCAGCGCCAGCGGCGTCCGGTGACTCAACTTCTTAACATCTGTCAGACGGAGGGGGAGTCCCTACACAGCTTCGTCACTCGCTTCAACACTGAGGCCTTGTAGGTGGCAGAAAATGATGACAAGGTCATTCTCTTGGCTTTCATGGTCGGTCTACGATCTTCCGATTTCCTTTCTCCCTCTCCAAAAATCCCCTAACTACTATGGCAACCCTCCTCTCTAAAGCCCAAAAATACATGAATGCCAAAGATTCCTTAACGGCCCGACAAGATTCCACAACCAAAAATCCGACCCCCAGAGAGAAGAGAAAGGACTCTGAAATCAAAACCACTCAGTACACACAGCAAACACCTCAGTATTCTGACCGACCTGTTCAAGTCGGCTGGTCGGCTCCTACCCGACCGCCCGGTCAGTTCGAGCGGTACACTCCCCTCAATTCCCCCATGGAACAAGTCTTGAACTAGATCCAGCGAGATTACCCCTTAAAATGGCCCCTACCATCGCGGTCTCCTTCCAACCGACGAGACCAGCCCAAATACTGCTGTTTCCATCAGGACCACGACCATAATACCGAGGAGTGTGTTAACCTCAAAGACTAGGTCGAGAGCTTAATACGCTAGAGGTGTCTCAGTCGGTTCACGACAGCCCGCCCTCAGTAACGCCCAAGGACCTAACCTACTAGAAACAACCACCGGTGCACCCCTCCTTGACAACTCACACAACCTAACCATGATTATGGCCCCCACAACAACCCCGGGCACAAGGCAACCCTGCCCTCCCGGTTGGGGAAATTAGAGTTATTGCCGGCGGGCTTGTATGTGGAGGACCATCCCGTTCGGCCCAACGGGCAGAACTTTGAAAAATCAGGCAGGGCTCAGATAAAGAAGTCGCAACACTAGATCGCCTCTTTAAACACCCTAAGCAGTGGATGGAGCCCATCACCTTTACAGAAGCCGATTGCACAGGCATCCGTTACCCCTATGACGACCCCCTCGTCATCTCTGCTCTCCTGTCCAATTATAAAGTCAGACGGGTGCTTGTTGACAACGGTAGCTCTTCAGACATCATCTTCCTAAATGCCTACCGCCAGCTCAAGGTTGGGGAAGAAAGTTTATCCCCCCTTCAAACCCTACTGGTTGGTTTCACTGGAGATCGGGTGACCTCCATAGGCTCCATCGATCTTCCCATCACTATTGGAGAATACCCACGGCAGACCACTAAGCTACTCACTTTTCTCGTCGTCGACTGTCCCTCTGCTTATAACATCATCCTTAGCCACATTGACCTTAACGCTTTTCAAGCTGTCACTTCCACGTACCATCTGGCCATGAAATTCCCAACCGACCTCGGGGTCGGCACCGTGATGGGGGAGCAGACTGTAGCCAAAGAATGCTACGTCGCTTCACTTAAAGAGGTCAAGCTGAAGGAAACTATGATTATCGAGGGACTCGATGTCAGAGACGAAGATGAGTTAGTCAGAGGGGAATCAGTGGAAGAACTTGTTGAAGTCCCCATCGACCCCACTAACCCGACAAAAATAGTCAAGATCGACAGCCAACTATCCCCCCAAGCCGAGGCCGATCTTACAACCCTCAAGACCGAGCACAATGATGTGTTTGCCTGGACCCATTCCGACATGCCGGGTATCGATCCTTCCTTCATCACTCATAGTTTGAGCATCAAGCCCCATTTTTGACCTTTCTGCTAGAAGCAGCGCATCTTCCACCCGGAACGCAACGCTCTTATTGCTTCTAAGGTAGACAAGTTACTAGAGGCATAGTTTGTCAAGAACGTAGATTATCTAAGATGGCTGTCAAATGTGGTCTTGGTCCGTAAAAACAACGGTAAATGGCGACTCTGTGTCGACTACTACGATCTCAATCGAGCTTTCCCCAAAGATAGTTATCCCCTTCCTCACATAGATCTGCTTGTCGACGCCACTGCCGGACATCAAATGCTCAATTTTATGGATGCCTTCTCTGGCTACAATCAAATTCTGATGCACCCATCTAACTAAGAACATACCTCCTTCATCACTGACCGGGGAACCTACTACTATCGCGTCATGCCATTTGGGGTAAAGAACGTCGGAGCAACTTACCAACGGCTAGTCAATGCCGTTTTTCATCACCAGCTAGGTCGGAACATGGAAGTGTACGTCGATGACATGCTAGTCAAGAGCAAACTCTTCTCAGATTATCTGGCGGACCTGCGGGAGACCTTCGGTACCCTACGTAAGTATCAAATGAAGCTCAACCCAGAGAAATGCACTTTCGGCGTAGGATCTGGGAAGTTCTTGGGTTTTATGGTCAGTCAGCGAGGTATCGAGGCCAACCTCGAAAAGATCAAGGCGCTAATAGAAATGCAGTCACCTAAAATGGTTAAGGAGGTTCAAAGGCTTACTGGCAGAGTCGCCGCCCTCAACCGCTTCATTTTCTGCGCAACGAACAAGTGCCTCCCCTTTTTTAAAGTCCTTCGGCAAGCTTTTGAGTGGACGACCAAATCCGAAGAGGCTTTCCAACAATTGAAGCAGTGCATGGCCAACCCCCCTTACTCTCTCAGGCGCTCACGGGAGAGCTTTTTTTTCTCTATTTAGCTGTATCGAGCACCGCAGTCAGTGCGACCCTCATCAGGGAAGACGTCTCCATACAACGCCCGGTTTATTACATTAGTCGAGCTCTCAAGGGAGCAGAACAGAACTATCCGTTGCTGGAAAAAATGGCCTTGGCCTTGGTCACAACCTCAAGACAACTCTGACCTTGCTTCCAAGCCCACTCTATAGTGGTCCTCACAGACTAACCTTTGAAGAAGATAATGCAACAACCAGAACTGTCCGGCAGACTTATGCAATGGTCAGTTGAGCTCAACCAGTTTGAAATCTCCTACCGACCTCGAACAGCGATCAAAGGACAGGCTGTCGCCAATTTTATCTTGGAATTCACTAATCCCACTCCAACAACGACCCCACTGCACAAGTAATTCAACACTGAGGCAGACGATCCCCACTACTGGACCCTCAATGTTCATGGATCATCCCGCAAAGAAGGCAGTGGGGCTGGTCTCATTCTCATCGCCCCTAAGGGTGGTTATTTCAAGTGTGCTCTCCACTTTCTATTTAGCGCAAGCAGTAATGAGGCCGAGTATGAGGCCCTGATAGCAGGTCTCCGCCTAGCTAGAGACATTGGTGTGAGCCATATCCGAGTGTTCAGCGATTCCCAATTGATCGTCGGACAAATCACAAGGGAATTCGACGCCAAGGACGACACAATCCGAGCCTATAGGGATATTTCACTCCCCCTCGTTCGTCTTCTCAACACTTTCCACATCAAACACATCCCTCGGTCAAAAAACTCTAAGGCAGATGAAATGGCCCAATTAGTCTCAGCTGACCAATCGGACCTCAGCCACGGAGTTCGCCTTAAATACTTGGCCCACCCAGCTATTTCGCCAACCCAGCTGGAGGTCCACTTCCTCCAAAATGAACCTATCCCATGGGCAGAGGACATCCTTCTATTTTTGACAAGTGGGGAGCTACCAGAAAACAAACAGCAGGCCGCCAAAGTTAGAGCCCGATCATCCAACTACATCCGCGTCAGTGGCCTCCTGTACAAACGAGGATTTTCACGCCCATACCTCAGGTGCCTTAGCCCTTCCCAAGCGACCTATGTGATGAGGGAAGTCCACGTGGGTGTATGTGGTAATCATTCGGGTGCCAGGTCGCTGGCCCATAAAATACTCCACACCGGCTACTTCTGGCCTATTCTCAACCAAGATGCTGTTGAGTTCGTGCTCAAGTGCGATAAGTGCCAGCGCTTTGCCAACATCCCCTATGCTCCACCGACAGAACTGATTACGCTCAGCAGTCCCTACCCCTTCGCCAAGTAGGGTATAGACTTAGTTGGTCCATTGCCCACCGGTAGAGGCCAAACCAAGTTCGTTGTGGTTGCCATTGATTGCTTCACCAAATGGGTGGAAGCGGAAACCCTCGCCACAATCACCGAACGGAACACAACCAGATTCATCTGGCAGTCGATCGTATGCCGATTTGGAATCCCCCAAGCCATCGTCTCAGACAATGGCAAACAGTTCGACAATGCCAAGCTTAGGAAATTTTGTGCAAAGCTCCACATTCAGTCATGCTTCTCTTCCCCAGGCCATCCCCAAGCCAACGGGTAAGTCGAGGTCACCAACCGCTCTCTCTTGAAGATCATCAAAACTAAGTTGGAAGCCGCCAAGGGACTTTGGGCTGAGGAATTGCCAAATGTACTCTGGGCCTACCGTACCACCGCCCGAACCCCCACTGGGGAGACCCCCTTTCACTTGACATACGGCGCAGAGGCGGTCATTCCAGTGGAAATCAGCCTGCCAACCCTGAAGGTTTTGTATCCAAATCCTGAACTCACCGAAGAATTACGTCGGGTTGACCTAGACCTGATCGAAGAGCTCCGAGAGACCACTGCTGTCAGACGGGCCTCATATCAACAAAAAATGAGAGCACATTACAACCGTACCACCGCCCGAACCCCCACTGGGGAGACCCCCTTTCACTTGACATACGGCGCAGAGGCGGTCATTCCAGTGGAAATCGGCCTGCCAACCCTGAAGGTTTTGTATCCAAATCCTGAACTCACCGAAGAATTACGTCGGGTTGACCTAGACCTGATCGAAGAGCTCCGAGAGACCACTGCTGTCAGACGGGCCTCATATCAACAAAAAATGAGAGCACATTACAACCGTAAAGTCCGACCGAGGGAGTTCACTGTTGGGGACCTAGTTTTGTGCGAGGCAACTCTCACCACCAAAAACCCTGCCAAGGGCAAATTGGCAGCCAAGTGGAAAGGACCTTACGTTATTAAGGCCAGGATATAGATATAGAAGGCCGAGACCTCCCCCACCCGTGGAATGCCGAACACTTGAAGCATTATTTCCAGTAAAGTACCATGTCCTATTTTTGTATTGATCAATTGTTGTATGACAATCTACACACTTGGTTATTTTTGTCCTTTTCATACATGGTGTAAATTTCTGATCGATGGGCTACGCCCTAAATGACAATGACTTTGTATTTCCGTTATTTGCGTTGTGTTTCCATAACGATTCGTTAAATTGAGTTAATCAAGCCTTAGCCAAACTGAGCACGAAGAGCTCAGCCAAATTTAGTTAATTAAGCTTTAGCCAGACTGAGCACGAAGAGCTCAGCCAGACTGAGTTAATCAAGCCTCAGCCAGACTAAGCATGAAGAACTCAGCTAGACTGAGCACGAAGAGCTCAGCCAAACTGAGTTAATTAAGCTTCAGCCAGACTGAGCACGAAGAGCTTAGCCAGACTGAGTTAATCAAGCCTCAACCAGACTGAGCATGAAAAACTCAGCCAGACTGAGTTAATTAAGCCTCAGCCAGACTGAGCACGAAGAGCTCAGCCAGACTGAGTTAATTAAACCTCAGTTAGACTGAGCATGAAAAGCTTAGCCAGATCGAGTTAATTACGCCTCAGCTAGACTGAACACGAAGAGCTTAGCCGAACTGTATCAATTGAGATTTCAAAATGATAGAGCCTCCCTAGTCTCAATCGGAACTCAGATGAAGAATTCGACAACTCCATTTCTGTAATTCGATGTTACAACATGGTCGCCATATGTGACAACCTTCACCACTGATTACTGCTAAACTGTGACTGAACATGATAAGTAACTGATTAGGATGAAATTCTAAACTGATTGCATGAATGTGTTATATTAAATGCATTTCTATTTGTTTGTCATTGATTTATCTGTTCATGTTTTAAGTTTCGAACTGTAAATTGAAGGCCTTATCGGCGGTCGAATCTGGAACTGATTAGTGTTTTGTGTTAATTAGAATTAATGTGATTTTATGGTAAATTTAGTTGAAATTTGATTTGGTATGATTAAATTGGATTAAATAATGTTAAATTACATTAGTTGGCTTATTTACCAAAATGCCACTTAGTGGACTATTTCATGAGCCTTTTATTTGATTTATACATGTTAGCATTATCATAACATTTCTTCAGCCATTTCTTCAGCCAAAACCGACTAGAGAGAGAGAGAGAGAGAGAGAGAGAGAGAGAGAGAGAGAGTTAGGAGAGCTTTGGTTTCAACAAGTTTTGCTTGGAGAATTAGAAGATTTGAAGAGTAGATTGCATAATTGAGCTTCTAGACTTGAAATTGAGGACCTAAGGTAGGAAAATCATCTTCTTGAACTTGTATTTAAGTTGTATCTTGTATGTTTCATGGAAGTTTGGTGATTAGAGTCTAGAATTGGTTCAAAATGTTGAATTGAAGCTTAAATCATGCATGAATGTTTACATTCTTGAATTTTGAGGTTGTTTTCTTAGAATCCTCACATGCATGTCCATATTTGGGTTATAGTCCATAAATTCATCATGTTTTTGGAAGTTTTGATTCATTTGATTATGTATTGGAAGTTTTGAAGTTGGTTAAATTCATGCATGTTGCATGTTCATCATGTTCTTGAAGTTTTGTTTGGAAATGGGTTCAATTGAACTACCTTTGGGCTTTGATTTTGCAAATTGACCTTTGAAACATGTCATATTATGAGTTTTAAAGTGTTTTCCAGAAAATTATCCCAAAAGGATTGAATTTGATGCTTTAAATGTTGAGTTTTATGCTTGGAGACAAATCTGGAAATTCCAGATTTTGGATCCACGCTCGAGCAAGGAACTTCACGCTTGAGCGTACACTCTGAGTTCATACAGTCCGCTCGAGCGAGTAAGTAACGCTCGAACATGAAATGCGTGTATCTAGTATTTTGCATGTGTTTACAGTCCGCTCGGGCAAGGACTTGTGTCTCACGCTCGAGCGGGGGTCGAGCGCCGGTCGAGTGTGAATTTCATGCATCCAGTACTTTTGCAGTCCGCTCGAGCGAGGAAAGTCACGCTCGAGCGGAGATCCTTTGTCTGCATGTCCGCTCGAGCGTAGAAAGCCACGCTCGAGCGAGACCCCTGTTTTCTGAAAATTTTGAAAAGTGTTTTAAAGTACATCTTTGTATCCTCATTTCATCCTAGGCATTCCTAGACCTTGTGTAAGGCATCTTAATGAGGATATTGATGTAGAACCACACCGAGTCAAGCTAGGGACTAAGTCATTGATTCCTAAGTGTGTAACTTAGTGTGTGTTCGTTCTGTAACTATGTAGGGTTGGTATCCGAGGACGCTCACTAGCCTATCTGTAGCCCAGAACTCTGTGAGTAACAATGTTGTAAAGATATATTCAATCATGAATAATTTCTGAATGATCAACTGTACTGCTTTCTGAAATGATATTTCTTACTAAATGAATGCTTGTCCTATTTGCGAACTGTATTCGTGGCATCCATAGCAATTTACTGTTACTGTACTATACCGCTACTATCACAGAGATCTCTGTCGGTTCCCATGTTTGGAACCACTACTGTTTACTGATATAATGGCTATCAACTGACTGTTCGGTTTGTCAAGACCTACTGTATTGTTTGCTATTGGATGTACCACTTATGACTGCTATGATCGAATGACTGATATACTGTTATAACTGACTATTTTAAATACTGAAAGGACATTCATTCTTAACCTCTTTATGCATATGTTATTCACTGGGCTTTAGCTTACTGTTTATATATATATGTAGGTGTCCAGGCACCGGATCGGAGTTAGGAGCGTTGGGTTAAACTCCCTTTTTGTCAAGTCAACCAACGTGCCTCACTGCGAGGTTCCAAGTGTGTCCAAGCCAAGACTGCTTCGGGGTGTTTTAGATTCCCCCTTTCTGTCTCTATTTTGTATGGACTGTTTAGATTTGTACTGTACTGTTATGGTAGGGATTTGGTCCCTAACCTGAATGCCTGTATATGATGTATGTACATACTGCTTTTGTTCTGAATATGAATATGTTATGAAAAGTTTTTTTGCATACAGACTGTCACAGCTCATTGGACATCTTTTATTACTGTTTTGGCTTCCGCCAGCCCCTGTACTCTGTATTACTGTTATTATTGTTAAGCAGGCCTTCGATAATCACGGATTACTGGCCGGTTACGGTGCTAAACCCATAGGGGCGGGTTTGGGTCGTAACACCATACTTAGCTAAAATCCCGGTCCATACTACAACATTTTTTAACAATTTTTACATTCCTAATTTTACGTCTTTAATTTAGTCAGAATCCAAGTCCATAGTCGTCCACGCCCATCTTTTGCATCATGGTCCTCTCACAAGTTAGTCTGGCTACCCATTTCTAAACTTTTTACAATCTACTAGCAAGTTTCACAATTCTGCTCTTACTTTTACAACCATTCTTCATTAAATTATGCTCTGCCATTTTCATTATTTTCAAATTTTTAACTCAAAAGAAATAAGGACAACAATGATACAAAAGAAAACTCTTTTTATTTACAAAACTTGCGGTTACATACAACTTGCTACATAAATTACATGCAAAAAAAAAACAACAAAACAAAACCAAACAAAAACATCATTTTTACATAGATCATTCCTCCTCAGTAGAGACCAAATCTTCCTCTTTAACCTCCTCGTCCAGGGGGGTCTGGGCAACGTTGTCTTCGCTTATTTGCACGCGGCTAAAGTCCACATCTGGGAACTACTCTTCCGCTTTATGTTTGAAGGTCTTCCAGCCGCTGTCCCAGAACTCAGCCATTTCATACTTATAAAAATCCAACTGCTGGAAGCTTTGGGTAACTTCCTCTTCGCTACTGCCTCCAGCAGCCGCTCCCGACGGCCCAGCCCCCCCACTACCCTCATTCACCAGGCTGCTCGCAATCGCGGAATCTATGGCTATCTGGAAGTCGGCGGACCCTTTGAATTGCTCCACTGCCGCCATACACAGGTCGGGGTACGCCGCCCTCTCAGATGCCAACTTCACCCTTTCCTCCGACAGTTCCTTCTCCAACGCCGCAATCCGACTATCGGCCTCTTCTTTGTCCTTAACCAGATCTTCGTTGCTGGACATGGCCTCCTCCCATCTTTCGTGGGTAGTGGTGCAGGCTCTTTGGGCCTCCTCTAGTTTCCTCTTCTCGCCCGCCAACTCGAACTCTAACGATATCGCCTTGCGGCGCTCCGCCTCCAGCTTTGACTTGGTTGCGAAGAGCTTGGCATTAGCTCGGTCCGCTGAGTAGCTCTGCACCAGCCCCAACACCTCCATGCTTTTTGCCCTTTGCGCGTGTTCTAGCCCCTTGGCATACGCACTCCGGGCGGCCTTCCTCCACCCCGCCGTCTTCACCCTCAGATTGTGCAGCTATAACTTTGCCTCTCCCAGCTGGGCCCTCAGAGGCTCTATCTCCATCTTCGAGTGCTCTATTTTGTTCATCAGGGCAGTCGCCAGGGTCGCTGCCTCCATCTGGGCTGAGCAGAACCCTTTCAGGAGGTCGGCCTCTGTCAATCGCGCCAGTGACCGTACAGCCGCATCTTTCACTACTCCAACCAGACGATCGGCTGTAACCCTAGCGTCCTCCCCTTCTGCCGAGTGACCTGCCAGTGCACGCACGTGATATAACGCGGTCGCTAGCGTGCCACTCATCTTTTGGTTGCCGATTCCAGCCTTCCTTTCACTGAGACTGGGGTTTCATTCTGGCGCAGATAGCACTGTCATTGCCATAGGGGCAGTTGGGCCCAAGTGTTCTTTTGGTATTTGGGCACTTGGACCCTCATCTTCCTTTACCACTTGGATGGTCCCCCTCGCCTCCTCTGGCGCCACCTCTACCCTTCTCTTCTTTATCCCTCCCACCGAAGAGGCACTCTCGCCCCAAATCTTCAGCTTTTTTAAGGCAGGGGCCTCTTTTCCCCCCTCAACGCCCCCCCTCTTCCTCATTGGCTTCTTCACAACCGCCTCCACCTCCTGCTG